CATAGAAGACTGCTCCTCAGTATCTAGCCCTGCTTACTGGGCAAGCACTTGTGCAGCATCATGCTTAGTATTTTTTTTTAACTTTCTAGCCACTAAGCCTCACACTGTGTTAATTTTCCATTTAACTTACTACAGAAATTGTTATTTTTTCCTTTATTTGTTTCTCTGTTGAAGCACTTGGAAGTAAAACTGGCACCTCCACCCAAATTACTCTTTTTGTTTCACCAATGTCTTTGCTTCTTTTATCAGTTTGGTATCTGTATTTATAGTGTCTTAAACATTTTGCTAGGAACCTGCAAGTGATGTTCCTCTCCTCCCTCCCTCGTGTATATTCATCTTCTTAATGACATTCTAAAACTAGAAATTATTCCTTTTAACAGCTTTGTGTGCCTATTTCCATGCTCACAATTACAAGCTCAGTTTATGCATCAGCACAAGAAGTGCGCTCACCAGTGATAACGCAGGCCATGTGCGTGCCATTACCTCATTTACACAATCACAATAACAACACGGAATTCAATGTCCCATCTGTAAGATAGGAAATAATATTTCCTTTCTTCTACCTCTGCCTGTGTGCATAGTACGCTCTTAAGGATAAACAGTCTCATTTTGTATATGCACAGACAGACACAATACGCACTCTGCAATCAATCAGAGCCTGATCTCAGCTGGGGCCTCTATCAACCCTATTGAAAATTCTCAGCTTCATTTTTTTTGCACGAAATCTCTTGCTGACTTTCTCTTTCTCTGCTATTTCTAGCCCGGGCTGACAGTTTTGTTTGGCTGCCTTCCACGCTCCCACAAACCCGAGAAAAACAGTTAAGCAGAAGTGCTAAGCAGAGCCTTCCCTCTCCCCCACTTGCCCTCAGGGCCTTAGGTGGTTTTTGGAGCAGGTAATGGAAGTTGGAGCCTCCAGAGCCATTTTAATTCCAAAAAAAAAAAAAAGTTTATTCTTTCTTCTGTCAGTCTCCAATAGAGAAAAGGGGAGCTTGTCAGAACAAAGAATCTGAAACTCCCCCAGAAACAGGGCTGAGAGGTAAGAGGACTACCACAGGTGCAGGAGGGGACAGCACACAGCGTGGGTCATGCAGCAGAAGTGGAGGCGGGGGACACACAGAATGCTTGGTTGAAAAAGCTTTCAACCAATATGGAACTTCCAGGTTTGAGTGTTTTAGATCTTTTTGTTTCTTTTGACTTTGGGAGGTGGGATTCCTGAGGGAGACAAGGGGGAAGAGTCCCCCAGGACCTACTGCAGGGACCTGCCACACGACACCCCTGGCACTGCCAGCTCCAGCCCTCACAAAACGGCACAGTCGCTCCTACCAGAACAGGCTCAGCCCAGGAGGGGGGTCACGCAGTTCCTGGAGAGCGCCAAGCCGCCCTTCACAAAGGTTTCCATCATCACTTCAGTCAGCGCTGACCATTAAAAGTTCCTCCTGTTATTGTTGCCTTGCAGTAACAGATGATACGCAGGCAAGAGCCACACTCGAACTGAGCTTCCACTCACCTCTTCCGTCACCATGGCCTGAGCCTACCACTGAGGAGAAACGAGAGACGGAATAAAGCTGGGAAAGGCAAAAGGAGAGAAGAACAGTGGTGAGGAACAAAAGGGCTGCACTGGGGTTTCTTTAAGCTGGCCCCGCTGTTGGGAATTCCCGAGTATGGTCATTAGTTCTTTCCCATATTGTTCGTGAGGAAAAAACATCCGTAAGTGACTCACTTTGACAGCCAGGCTGCCCCCAGCAGACATTTGATGTTCTTCTAAAAGGACCTTATCTCAAATGATAGCATGTGCAATATTTTCTCTGTGTGAAGCTAATCTATCATTTTAACAGCTTGTCAGTTCTTGCTCTATTCTAGGGGATCCAGAGAGTCTTCCTCGATTTACTGCAATAGTTCTTGATGGGTTTAAACTTCAGATAGCTGCATTCTGCAAGAGCCAGGGACTACATGGAAAGTTACACTGCTGGGGAAGGGCAGCGTTGCTTTCACGCATGCCAGAAACTCCTGGAGATTACAACGCACTCCGCAGAGGCACGACTCCCCGTGACTTCATTCAGGCCTACAAATGCCAGGTCCCGTGATTTACGAGTTGTCACAACCACAAGGCTGTGGCGCTGTGGCAGGTTAGCTGCTCTCCTGGGTCTCCCGTGGGGCTGTCCGTCCCCACAGGACGCGGCACACAGGCTGCGCAGCCACGGGCCGCGGCGGGCAGCGGCCACGGGGCCGTCTGTGGCAGCACAACTGCCCAGCACACATGAACCCAAACCTGGGAACCAACCCCGTCCTGTTCCTCTGCTTCCCTTCTGCCCCAGCTGCAAGGAGATTGTAAAAGCTGGGGACATTAGGAAAGAATTATTTTAGTATTTTTATCCAGGATGTATGTAGTATATTTATCCAGGCTTCCTGTCAATCCTGGCTTGTAAAGAAAAGGGCTAGAAAATTATCTTAGAGAAGTACTGATGTTTTACTTTGCCTTTTGGGTTTCTTAAATTAGGTCAGTTTTACAAAAGAACTTCTTGGCTGCTTAGCAGTTTTTATGAGACAATCTCAAAGCAACTGGTATTCAATTAATTCACAACCTTGCTTTGATTTTGGATTTGTTGCGCCCGTCTCCACTACAGGCACTGAGGCCGAGGCGCGTTCGATGGGGCTGCCAGTGCCCACACAGTTCGGCAGTTGCAGAGCACGGACTCGGCCCGCTCCGTGGACCCCTGGCAGCTTCCAAGCAAGCAGCACCGAAGCCCATATGACACTCGCATCCCCAGGAGAACCACAGCGGGCACTCTGGGCCTTTCAGAGCACGTAGCAGGGACAGGCTTGCCCACCTACCTTGCAAGCCTTCTTGCATTTTGTCTTCTCTCTGTTATCCTATGTGTAAAAGAATCTGTAATGTGACTAGACAGAGCTGGTAAAAGAAATTAAAGCTGAAGAGGGACAAATTCAATTAATTCCTTCTTTCACACAGTAATTGTTTCTAGCTCTTCAATATACAAATTAAGCAACTTATACATCCATGAGAAGTGCTGAGGTATTGTAAAGACATTTTTGGAAGAGATGCAAAAAAGGACAGAAAAAATGTACTTCTAAGCATCAGGCTTAACAAAAACGAACATAATTACCACCACCCTTTCTCTGTAAACTCTTAGGTGTGTGGCTTTAAATGAAGGACCTATTAAGGGCAGGAGAGGAACACAGAAGTTTCGGCAGCTTGAAATTGCCTCCAACTTTCTCCTGATGTCTAAAAAAGACCAGGGGAGCTTCCCCACCGCACCCTTGCTGCATATGAGCTCCAGCTGCACACATGCTGTTTCCAGAGTCAGAGGATACAGATGTCATTAAATATGCTGGTGATCTGCCCCAGTCTATTGATTTTTTTTTTTAATCAGAGATCAACACTAAAAAGGTATTCGAAGACTCAGCACGAAGAGGGGAAACAACAGCAATGAAACTGTAGCTCCTTTTTTTTACCAAAGCAAGGTTCAGTCCACAAATTATAGCCAGTACAGAGAGACAAGTACTGACAATTGATGAGGGAATCCTGCAGGACCTTCGAAACAACTAAGCAAACTTCCAGTCTGGAGTTCTCTTCTCGCAGGACGATGGCTTATGTAGCAGCTTGCTAAGAAACAATCAGTCTTCTTTTTAGAGGATCTTGTTTATACAATCCAAATTCAGTCATGGCTTCCACTGTACTGTGCTGGTTACTGCAGTGCTCATTTCCTCCTACCGAAGTGCATGTGCATTTCTTTTCACATTTCTTACTCTCTCCGTGATAGATCTTGTATTGCCTTCAATTACTCTGTCGCTTAATCTCTCCAGGTTCCCTTTTTAGTGCATTTGCTTCACTGTGAATTAAGTAACCAAAGGTGCATTTTAAGCAAAAGTTTCCATCTCTGTTATTTTTAAATGCATGAAAAATAGATTCAACACAGTATTTGGGCAGTGGTTCAACATCACTCAAGTTAAAACTTCCTCCTCCACTCCAAACAAACCGCTAAAAATATGACTTCTTAAAACTCCATATACTTCATACAGTGCTGTTTAGCAATTATGTTACTGAGTGCTTAGCAGCCACTGCTCCTTTTTGCCCACTGTATATCTTACAAAGTTCCTTGACCTGGAAATCATTTGAAGACTGAAACCCAGTTTCCAGTTTTCCCATTTGTAGTAGACACAAGCTGTGCAGCAAACTTTTAGAAACTAACATTACTTCTGAATTGAGAATGTGCTTTGTCCAAAACTTCTGAAGTTAACCTTTATGCATTTGATTGTCAATGTTTTGTAAAACCTGAAACATTCTTCGGCTGACTAAAACCTTTATACCCTTAGAATATAAAATCTAAATATAAATGTGGTGGGCGTATGGGGAGCTTTTTTCTCTGAGGAGGCTCTGTTACGAATTTCCAATGTTTTACGCTACCACCAAGCCTGCATTAAGCTGTGACACCTGTTCAGAATTTTCAGCTCCTTAACCCCTTATTATACTTCCTATAATCCTCACCATAAGTCCAGGAAGTAGAACAGAGTTTTGTCATCCTGGACTTGCAGTATTAATTGTGTAAGCATTTCACATTACCAGCCACCTTAAGGATGACTAACTAAACATAACTACTCATTTTTGTTTTAACTAAGAACAGTAGATTGTATAGTTTTCAAGCAAACCAAGAAACAAACATAGAAACAAGAAATTCCACAGGAGGAACAGTAAAGAAGATATGGCAAAATGGTCTATACCAAAAGAAAAAAAAAGGCAAAAAAACTCCCCAGCAAACCCTAATATTCTGCAGCTTTTAAGTAAAATCATGCTAAATGTACTGCTATCATTCACCGTAATAGTGACTCACTATTCTTAGGTTTGATATATTTCACAGATATCAGCAGTGCACAATGCCAGTGCACGCAAACACTCTTTCAGCATCACTACCTAGATAGTCCTTCACACATTTTTTTCCAAAATGAAACCATAAGGATATCTCCATTGAGATAAAATGCTCCACAAGGAATCCTGTTTCAAGACATCCTTTTTCAAACTATAGCCATGACTACTGAGATTAATCACAATAAGATTTTTCACTTGATTTATTCAGACAAATTATTTGGAGTTTGTTTTATATTCAAAATATGTATAATTTTACAAAGATATTAGTAAATTGGTGCAGTATTAGAGAATCTTATATAAATGTATTTGTTCGAGTGCTTCTCTGTCAACCTCCTTCTCCATGAACACATCATAGTTTAGCTGCATCTCTTCTACCCAATGGCTGAGCTGTATATTCATCTGAAACAATGAGAACATATCCTTAAATTAACACAATCCTGAGAAACATAACAGGACTTTCAAGGTCAGTACACATTAAGGGAAGGCATAATAAGAGAGATTAGTCATTCCATATTATACAGCACTGATAATTCTTTTCTGGAATTGTCATTTAACCTAAACAGGAGAGAATTAAAAGATACCTTTTAAAATTATCTCACTCAGTCACTTAGATATTTTGCTCGCATGTTACAACTGCCTTCCATTTGCATTTGTATAAGCCTCAAGCGTCCGGATCAGAAGGCAACATTTTGATAGAAGTGGTGAGGGAGCAGCTAACTGTAGCGGGGAAGAATCACAGGTACTTTCTTGTTTTACACCCAGAGGGAATTGTATTAAGACTACAAAGGGCTTCTCAGCTGTTGTGTAACTACTGCCTGCTCCAAGAAAAGGTCAGATGACACCATGGCTGCTCCTGGGGCTCAGCATGTATTTCACCTATGAGCACAGAAGCAATGAGCGCTTCAGTTTCTCTGGCGCAGCCCTCTGTGGCCAGCGAGCCACTTGGTAAATATCCCTGCTGCGCATTATCAGCACTTGGTTTCCTAACCAAAGCCAGCCCACGTAATTTCCCTAGGCAACATACACACAACTGTAACCTCTGGAAAACCTGCGCGGAAGGGACACAAAGCAGGGGCTGCCCCATCAGAGGGGGTTACTACCCTTCAACACCAGCAGCAGCACAGGGTATTACGGAACACCCCTGAAAGTTGCACTGTCATTCTGTTTGTTTCCAGGAGCAATCCAAAACAAAAACACCCACTGGTAATCACCTGGCTGTCTGGACCACATCGCTCCGCAGTCTGTACTTCTAACAGCTCCCCAGTCTGTACTTCTAACAGCTCATATTGGCATATTATGAATCATTTTCCATGTTAGCAACAGGTCAGAAGACTGGATATCCTCAGGGCATGGTCCTTCTTTATTACGAATCTCTCACACTCACTGGCAAAACAGTTTGTCATATTTGAAGACAACATGCAAGTGCAGAGTTGAATAGAAAAAAATGTTTCAAGGTTTCATTTTTAACTAGAAGTTTATAAATATGTCTATGCTTGTAAAGCTCTGCAGGTTCTCTATACCTGGACATAGTCTGAAAGGGGTGGATATGATTATCACATAACTTACTAACACCGTATCTCAGCTTTGCTAATCATACTGTATTTTTAACCTCCCAACTAAGGTATTGTCAATAATACATACAAAAATCCATGCAGCCGACTGAGATAGCTTGTGGTTTCCATGTCGTGGCTGGAGACAATTGAAGCAGAGGATGACGAGCTGGTGGTCAAACAAGGAACAGAATTTAGAGTCCTACATCTTCTGCTCTGCACACAAGACCACCTAGCTGCCCTCATGACAAGCCTGGCAAACAGTTAGACTCAGCTATAGAAGTGCCACTTCCACAGAAGGCAACAGCACGTGTTGGCTAAAACTGGCTCAGAGAACTTACCTGGAGCTTTGAGAGAGATTCTTCAAGCCTTAGAACTGTTACTAATAATGACCATCTTTTCCTTACGTTACAAGCAATAAATTCCCAAGCTCTGAAACACATTTTAAAAGCAGATCACCAGTTTTTAGGAATAGAAATGTGTTTGTTATACAATAAATCTAACACTTTACAATTTAATGACCTAAAAATAGACTAAGCTTAAAAGACTTGCTATAAATATTTATTAGCTAATACTGATTTATCTGTTTATCTCTTAATACTTCACCAAGTATCTTTGTATGAACAAAATCAAGCTCCATAAGAAAGAGAGAGAATGCATCATCTCATAATGTTAATACTTGCGGCAATGAATCATCTTACAATGTTAATACTTGAGGCACTTTACTTCACTCTGACACTTACCTGCATGCCATGTTGCACTGTCGACACCTTCACTCTGGACTGGGATAAAACATTTACGTGTTTGTCCCTTTAAACTGTTAGTTTTGAAGAATAACATCCTGGCCCCAGTCCCACTGTTTCATTAAGCTTAACAACTTGCTCTTTATATACTTACACTGCAGTTGTAACAAAAACGCTCCACAAAAGATACTAGCAATGGCAGTACTTAAAGAAAGCCCCCAGCATGCCTTTTTTTCTGATTTGACAAGTCAGATCATTTCTCATAGCAAGGCAATTTAGACTGGAAAAGAACTTAATTTCTAGTATTCTTCAAACATCATTTATCTTCACGGTACTGTGTCACATTAAGTCACTACCCTGAGTTCTTCAGGAATCAGATGAATTCTAACTAATTTACCTGGAAACTAATCCCCTGGCAATTTGAAACACCCGCCACCCTTCACTTAGGCATTCTGCTCTCTGCAGCTTTACCTGCTCAATCAAGGGATAGCAAGGGCCAAGCCTTAGCTTAAATGGTTAGCAAATATCAGGCGCTCGCTTGGGCTGCCTGAGACGCAGGCAACCAATCCTTTGGCTGCCTGTGCTAAAGGCACGATAACTTTATCAAGTAAAAGTTATTGGCATCTTCAGTGAGTGCAGCAGAAGCCCACCGGTGAGTGTCTTGCATCAGAAAGAGGACAATAACAACCTTAATGATGTTTCAGTGTGTTATTACTTACTTATGATCCTATCAGAAATATCATAACTATCTCTTGCAGTGCATGTATATTAAAGCTCACATATCCAGAAGTCAGAGCAATCTGTTCTCTTTCCAAAGATTACTTAACCTGAAGTTACAGTAAAGGTATGCGGGCATAGTAATTTCAAACCTATTAAGGTTAGATACTATTTAAACTATCCAGTGCAAGGATTCAGCGTAAGATCTGGATAAACAAAGAGTGTTCAGTGGGCTTAACAAAAACAACCGCCATAACAACTTAGCAGTTACAAATAACAATTAAATGCAGGTAGTTTAAAGCAATTTCCTTATGTAAATTACATATGCAACTTCAAAAAGCACAACCTAAAGGTTTTCCATAGCTCACAAGGTTACATGTACATTGCCAAAGAAATAGATTACTTGTTTGGACACATAGCTTACCTGGCCTGTTCCTGTCTGTCAAGAAAATATTCAAAGACATTATTCATTACAACAACATCAGCCTTCTGAAGAAGCGAAGCCTGAGTACAGATGTCTGCGTGAACCACCTGAAGGAGAGAAATTTCACAGGGCATAAATTAAGAGACAAACACAGACTTCAAGTAGACATGAAGCCTGTCAACAGAACACAGCACCTGCTACCGCAGTTCTGAACCAGTCATAAAAAGGGATATTTCATTGAGTTCATAGATAAAAAGAGAAGTAAAATAACCTGTTTTTTAATCTCCTAATTAAAATAATTCATTAAGTTATGTGAAATGCTGTATCTGACTTTTGATCTAGAACATTGTGTGCCGTAAAAAAGGAGCTGATGTATGTGATGTCTGTTACCTTTCACTTACCTATGTCTTTATCACAAACATTTACTGATTTCAGTAAAGAGCTTCAGCCAGCCACAGCTTTTAGCAGGATAGCAAAAGGCATCTCAAAAGCACAGTGGGTTACTAAGGGATCACAGCTAGAAAAGACTCAACAGACCCAGGCAGACCCAGGCTTGACAGCTGAATTCTTGTTATGCACACTGGGACTGAGAGTGCCGCTGGAGCACAAAAGTGCTTTATCTTGCTGAACAACTACTTCTCCAATCAGCACGCGTGCTGATTTGATTTTCAGAGTCCTTCATCTACCTTCAGCTACCAAAAAGCACATCATGTCATTTCCAAACAGGTGATATTTCAGTGGAGGGAAAATATGGATGCTCATTAAGGCTACGACAAGATGCATTTGACTTCCTCTTGAACATGGAGAAGTACATCAACTCCTAACTCTGAAGAGAAACATGAATAGGAATCTTTTGCGTGCATGATGGAGAGAATGCTAATCTGAAGTTTTTTCAAAGTATGTCTCTATATGTTGAAAATGGTCAGGAAATCTGAACAGCTTCTTGCATTTCTTGGGTCACCTATTACTAGGTTTTGCTGGGACTAGATTAACTGGACAGATTCCACATTCCTTGTTTTGTCCATTTCTTCTAACACTGGCTGGATGTAAAAGAGAAATCATGATTCTGGCAAGAAAGCTGAATCTTTATACAGAAGACAAGACACCCTTTCTGCTGAAAAACATTTTGTCCACTTCACAATATCCTGGTACTTGCTGAGCACACAAAGCATGCAGTTCTCACTGGCAGCGGGGACAGGGAGGACCCATGCAACTCGCAGGAGTTTGAGTGGGGAAAAGGCAATGAGCGGCTGTAGCCTGCAGCTCCAGAATGCACTATAGCAAGTTTAGCCAAGTATTTCAGTATCAGCTGTAACAGAAATAAACTCTACTTGTAAAAATAAGACATGACAGCGCTTCATGTTTGGGAGTCATATTCTCTGAGTTCTCTGTGAGGACTCCAACTTGGTAAAACAAGCAGCTTTATTTCATTAAACACATTACCATGCTGAGTTCTCCACCAATGCTGATAATAACAGGAAGGAAAGCAACAACATTCTTGAAGCTCACTCAAAATTGACAGGTTAGTCTTTGAAGGCTCTCTTTAGACAACTGAAATGGGGCTAATTTATCTTAAGACACTGCAATGTAAACTGTAGCACCGTGACAAACAGCAGCTGAGCAGGGAAAGCTCAAACATCCAGGCAACATGGAAACAAGACAGACCGCCCAGGCTGGTCTCGCCATGGCAGTCCGGCCTACGGTAGGCCCTGCTTGTCAACTGAAGTCTTCCACATAAAGCCTCTGCTGTCCATATAATGGCACCCTGCACACTGAGGGAGTGGATGTTTGCAGTTAGGTTTGATGCTGCTGTCCCAGTGCACAGAGACCAACCTCCTGCAGAGGGGCAGTGCAGACGTCTGGGGCAAAACAGGCCACAGCTACATCTGTCAGAACTCAGCTATGAGAGCCCTCATTACCCATAGCTTTCAGTGCCCTAAACTGTAAGTGATGCTCAAATCATGGTTTCCAAGGTTAAGGAGGTGTCTTACTCCTTCCTTTTCAAGGGCCTAAAATAACAGCAGCATGGAATTTCTGTACAAAATATACCAAAAAAAAAAAAAGTCTGTAATCCCTCACTGCAAACGCAAATGACTGATGATTCATTCTAACAGGGATTTGTAGAATGGCAACTTGAGAGAGAGGAAAAGGTCACCCATCTATAAGAAGCATGAGAAGTCACGGTTAGCGATAAGTTTTCTTAATACCTTTCTAATAGCATTTCTAATATTTTAAGCCTCAATTCAGAAAGACACTTGAACACCTGGGAAATTTTGAGTACGTGTTGATGTTTCCTTGACTTTTCAACCCTGAAACTTTAGCTTAAAATTAGCCTGCAGGTACAGAGTAGGTGCCTGTGCTGATTGAACTGACCCAAGCAGCCCTCTCTCCCAGGCGCACACTCACGTGCTGCTCCACGAGCCAGGCGCAGGTCCTCCTCCAGCGGAAGGCCCTCTCAGCTCTCCTGCTGCCTTCTTTGGCAGCTGCCTCGGGGCCCTGCTCCGCTTGGCCACGAGCTCACACAAAGCTCTGCGCTGGCACAACAGCAGCGCAGTAAGTGCCTCAACAGACCTGTTGCCAGCAGGAGCGCACACCGAGCCCTGAGGAACATGGGCAGCCCCTGAACTGAGCTCTGACGGTTCTCAAGATCTGTTCAACTGGGTAACTCTCCTCCCGGAAACTAAACGTTTGCCCAAATGGCGATCGCCACAGGGCGATTTCTATGGTCAAATCAAATGTTGACCAAAGGAACTCATAAAACATTAGCCATTAAAGTTAATAAGTTAATAACATTTCGCATGTTGTCCTTCAGGAACAACATTCTGTAGCCGTACACCTGAAAAATCAATGGTTATTTAAAAAGTGTCTCTTCAATGTTTCTCAATTTTGAATCACAGATTATTATCCGTAACTGGATTCTGACTGTTTTCAAAGACAGTGCCTATCTCCGGAGAGGATTAATTTGGAGGTGAAATAAAAATCTAAGAATGAAATGTTCAAAGCAGTGCGATAACAGGAGTCACATGACTAAACATCTAATGAGACTCAAATAGTGAAGTCCTCAGGCACTACTTTGAAAATGTATTATCTTATCTTTACTCTGAAATGAATATTTCAGCAGAATTACAAGGTGTGAAGGAAGAACAAAAAAGTCTTGCAGTAAAGAACATACAGGGCTGAAAAGCATGTACATACATCACCATCTCTACTGAGTTAACTTCAGAGTTCCTTCTGCGCCTTCAGTCCCATCGCAATGAGGTGATGCTCATATGAACCCCAAACTTATGCAAATAATAACGTTATCGATAAAACTGGCAGCAACTATGATTAAACTGAACAAGCTGGTGAATCTGCTTAACTGAGAGTTCAGTATTTTAACATTTATTAATTTATTATTTTTCATCTTTTAATTGGTTATTTAAATTCTCAAGAAATTACTGCACCCAACGTCTTGTGTGACTCCATTCAAAAGCATATGCATGTAGCAGGATTAAGCCCATTATTTCACTGAACATATCCTATTCACCAACTTCTGCTGGCATTGAAACTACTGGTATCCCTCCAAAGGAAAAGAAAAAAAAATCTCATCAAAATAGTTGTAGTTATTCTCATAATGGGAGTAAGGAAATGGTTCCCAAAACATCAGAACGTTTGAAACCCATCTTGCTTTTCATATGTTCCAAGGAAACAGATGCCCATAGCCTGAAGTCCTTTAGGTGTTTGCAAATCCTGCAAAAATCTTTCTATTAGTATTAACAAAACACAGAGCTGCTATTAGTGAACACAGATGCCAGTTGTTTTTGTTATTTGAGATAAAAACTTCTTATACAGTCAGTTTCACAGAAGTTAGTGGCAAACCTATCGCTCATTTCGCTGGGAGAAGATGCTAGGATGTGTGTGTTTTGTGCAAGCCACCAGGCAGGTCTTTTCAGGAAAAAGGCTAAGCAACTCAACACATTATCATATTTTGATAATTCAGTCTTTTTCCAGTTAGAGAATTTTCTTTTTTTTTCCCTTTTTTTTAAAAAAAAAAAAAAAAACAAAGAGCCTTTGCTTAAGACCAAAACAAGCAAAGGCAGAGACTTATTTTCAGAATGCTGATTTACCTGTCACTCCACTAAAAAGGACACCTACTGCACGGTTGAATTAAAGATACACACTGAATCATTTATTTAGTTGCCTTTATTCTGTTAATGAACTGGTATTTTTTAAGTGTCATTTCTTGCAACTGGCAAAAGTCTGCATTCATTTCTACTCCATAGAGTTGGGGTGCTGAGCTATAAAAATAACATTAGGAAAAAGAAATTTAGTAATTGTGATGCCTTTAAAGCGAGTTCAAACATTTCAATTAAAAAGGAAAAATAAAACAGAAGATTAAGAAAACATTTAAAATGGGAAGCTGAGAAACATCTTACAGTGGATGCTATATGTTTTTCAGAACTAAGCCCCTGTTTTGGCAATTATCACTGATTTCTCACAAATTTTAATAAGAGATTCAAGCTGACAGATCAAATAACAAAAAGGAGAGCTGCAATTTTACTTCAATTGCAAAACATGTGAACTGGCCAAAGGAGGAAAAAAAAACCCACTACAAACTAAGTTATAAAAAAAATACAATGAAAGGCAGTGACGCTTAGTCTTTAAACACTCTCTGTGCAATTTTGTTTCTTTTAAGAATGGGAGAAAACATAACAAGACCAAAAGACAAGATCCAGGACTAGACACACACTTAAACTGAGTGAAAATGGCAAACAACGTACCCTAATATATAGCAATTATTACAGAACAAAATCTTTGTCAGCACCTCTATTACTGCTATTGTTAAGTGCTTCCTACAGGCCCGTATGGACGAAAAAGATAAATTATTTATTGGTAAAATAACCAAAATGCTTAAATAGCTCAGTTTTAGGCTAAGATGATGGATTTTTGGGGGGAGATTACAAAAAAAAAAAAAAAAAAAAAAGAGAGAGAGAAGTAGAAATACTTGAGCCAATGTGGCTAATGGGGATATTGCTTGAGCTTTAACTGTAGTTGTGTCTTCGGCAAACACCATAATTCCAGTTTGCTAATTATGGGAAAGGCAAAGCAACAATGTACACAATACCAGAGATATGTTGATTTGAAATCTAATTATCAAAGTTTATCTGAAAGCATTCAACTCAGAGGGCAGAAAAGCAACCTGTAAAGAGAAAGTCAACACTTCTCCAATACAAACCAAGAATATGATGAAAAGGATATTTTTTTCTTTTTTAAAATGTTGTTGCTGCTTTATCTTGAGGCTATCTTCCAGTATTACAGTACGAGCCTTTATGTATTTCAGAACAAACATAATAGCTAGCAATCGTGTTATCATTAAAAGATCCAATGCTACAAATATTTACCAATGGGAGCAACTTTCCTCATTTGAGCAGTCTCAAAATAAGATTACTGAGATGACTAAAATTACATGCTCAAGTGTTTCCAAGGCTGAGCCCTGAACAGCCTTTGACTTTTGCAGAAAAGTTGTAATGTGTGTTTTGAGTTGCTGTTGACCATATGTTGCACCAGCCATGCCAAAAGCAATCAAAATTGCACTCAAGTTTCTCAATGAGGTATTTTATACGCATTTTAAAACCCAGAGCAGGACAATATGTTTTAGGAGACAAATTCGTACCAAAGTCTTCCTTTGTATAACTTAACGCATTGTCAGCTTCATAAAGGAATTTAACATAACTGATCTATATATAGGCATGGTCAAGATGTACAGGACAAGCTTACCTAGGAAGCAAAGCTACAGCAATAATTAGCAAAAGAGCAGTCTGTGTGACGATAACATGCTACTGTGTCGGACAACAGACTTTTCCTCTCCATGAGCAAGATCACTCCTAGTTCCTTTTGGGAGGAACAGAACAAGAACTGAAATCACTCGTAAACAGCAGGACCTTATACTGTTCAGTCATGCTAAAGATCCCTCTCAGAATGACCTGATCAAGGTGGAGTAACAAGAGTAGATAGTCAGAGAAGTGGGAAATGTATGTCACAGTAATAAAATATGAATTCCTGGGCTGGAAGTTACTGCAAGTATCACTGCACCAAGCCTGGAGCCAACATCAACCACTACCCTTCCTGTCAGGTCAGGCAGTACATGTTGATAAAGAAACTTCAGTTCCATGGGGGAAAAGGAATGTGAAATAAACTCTGGGAAATAAGAACAAAACAAAGGTGTTGGGTGGGAGTACTAACTAATGCGTTATTAATCAATGAAGAGTCAGCCTCACTGAAAACCTGCCTGGTTTCCTGACTAAAGTAGTATTGGGGACCTTCAAAAAACAGGGTTTGCAGAACTGAAGCACCCTGCCAAGATGCCTGCCATGAGACTGGGTATTTACTACCTTACATGAAAAAATTTGAAATCCTTCATAAAGCTGAATTACCTTTGTCTGCACAGTGACATATATTAAATAGAAGATACAATAACTTGGAATTATTTAAGTAAATGTAGAAACACAGTAACTAAAACTCAACACAATTCATGAAAACCTTTTCATGGGCAGACATATTAACAGCTTAAATTTCAACTCCAAGCTCTTAAGGGACAGAACGTTCTTAAAATAAACAACTCCTTCAGTGCTGTGTTATATTGGTGACAGCACTGACCTACACCACACTGTAGCTCATGCACCACATACAAGATTTACCATGGTATTCCCTACTGCTTTTCGATAGGCAAGAGGAGACTGAGGCTACTGCATGTCTTGCTACAGTATTGTCTGCTTTCTGCATCTTGCTCCTCAGTGGTACACAGCCCTGACCCCTCCTTGCCCAGTTTTTGTGAGCAACTTGTGTCACTCATCCACTGCAAATGATTTTGGCTTACATGTTTCGGAGTCTCCCTCCATTGGTGATAGGAAATAACTGTGGTCTGTGTGCTGCACCAGTCTGAACAAGGTCCTCCATCAACTGGATGGTCTCCTACCCAGCTGAATAATTGCACACACCAATTTAGTTGAACAAAATTTGTTTCTCATGTTCCCAAATGAGCACTTACCTAAAGATGCAGCCTTGCATGCGCCACACTCTGTGCAGTAGTTCTTACTCATTTTCCCTTCCCCACATCATGAGTCAACAAAATCATCATCATAAAGGAATGCATCAATATGAATCATGGGCAGTGGATGCTGGTGTATCTGAGAAAAGGAAGAAAAGAAAACCTAAGAAAGACATAACAAAGTCTCCTAATTTTGCTTTTACTCATCTAATCTGCCCACCATCTTACCTTTCAATCAAATCCCCAACACCCAAGGTTCTCCCTAGCCAAAAAATTACACATGAGAATTCTGGGAATTGTGCAGTAGGTCCTCACATTACTAATCTCTGCAAGTCTAATATTAATTGTATCATAAATATAGATATATTTAAAGTTAATGCACTTTACAGTTCTGCAAAAGGCACAGCTGGTCTGATCAAATCAAAGTTGGCATCGGTTATTCTCAAGACAGATTAAGAAACCATCCAAACAAGTTTTCTATAGATTAACTATACTGATTACAAATTAATGGAGTTAAACCGTAGGATTCCTGCATGTCAACTAGATCAAATTCCACCCAGATTACCAGTAAGTGAAAGTTGACAAAGGAAAGACGGCTGGAGGTCTGGATAGCTGAGCAGGAGACCTGCTTTGAATTCTGCCTTCTTTGAGCTGGCTTTGGTGTAGAGGAGGCAATACAGAGCTTTGGCACATGGGAACGGAGCCTGCTGGTTTTTGACTTTCATGAGAAGGTTGCTTAAATATAGCAGAAAGGACAATCTTGGTTCTCAACTTCAGTTGTCCAAAGATTGTCATTTTCATGTTTTATGCCTCAATCTAGGAACATCCCTGATTAATGCATATATCATTTTCAATCAAAAGGATACTAAGTCATATTAGTAAGGATGTTTGCCTTCTATCATTTCAAAGGGCATAATCTTCATCCTCTCACTCCTCTTTCCTCCCTTTATCCACAGATGCATGTGGTCAATCCTCCATTGCATTTAAGAGCCATTTTCCCCATTTTTCTGGGAAACACATTAACTTGCCACCTATACTGCCAGCTCAAGTAGAAAAGGTGCTCTCTCTTCCCACAGGACTCACAGCCCATCTCTCTCTCTCTGAGCCATGGGAATCTAAAAAAAACGTGAAAATTGTTTCTGCGCTGCCCACATTATGGCAACAGAAAAACACTGGCCCTCTATTTCTATTTTTATTAAGCAGGCTGTTAGATTCTGTTATGGAGTTAATGGTAAAGAATCACTGTGACAAGTATCATACCATACAGAATGAGAGCTATGCCAAATAACTTACTATATAAGTGCTGAGAAGTATCAAACAACTTACCTGGGGTCACACGACTACGCAGCAACAGATCTGGGAGGCAAACTGAGATTTCCTGTATCTCAGTCCAATGCTCATTCTCTATTATTATCTACTAGTAAAACCAAAATAACCAAAATCAGCACAGTGCCCAAATAAATTATGTGGTTCTCCATACGGAGACCATAACAATTGGCTTACTTTCTGCAAAGCTAAATGTTCCCAATTAAACACTGCCTTGATGGGTAAGTGATTCCGCAAATCTTCAGCGATATTTTTGAGCACAACATCATTGTTATTCACCACAAGGTCATCAAAGTCACCTATAAATCAAAACAAACAAAAAAATCTGAGCAATCATATGTAGATCATGTGGACTAAGTGATGACCAGTGCAATATAGTTGCAATACATAAACAATACCAGATGGATAAGGATTTTATTTGAAATGCATTTTTCAGCCTTTGTTAGTTTTTCCAGCCAATGACAGATTTAGATTGTAATAACTTTGCCACTTAAAATAAATATAGCACTTTTTTGAGTCTCAAATTATTTTCATATTTATAAACTTATAACTCACATATGATGGTCCGGGCTGCCACCAAAGTGATACTGTTTCAACTTAAGATATAAAAACATCAAAGATATTTTTGAACTGTTGGAGAAATTACAAAACCCACAGTTGCCTGAATGTACACAGTTTTTGTGCTTTTTTTGTAAAAGTTTTTTTTTTTATACATACCATCTTTCTAATAAAGCGGTTACAAAGCAGCAAGGATAATGCACAGTTCAACAGTTCAACTTACAATACTTCTTTAATGACTGAAGCTATCAAACTGTTTCAAATGTGAAAGAAAATAAAAGTGGATGTAAAGCAGTATGTTTTTGCAAAGGCACCCTGTAAATTCTTGCTGTTTATCCAGGATACCCCTGCATTACCTTAGCACCCTTTTTCTTTGTTTTGATTTGGACATCTAGAAAGCAGACTTCCAAGGAAATTTAGGAGGCCGCCAATCCTCTCTTCTTGCAAGGCAGAATCAATTCTAAGTGTCACTGCTTCTCCAGAGTGTTCTTTAAAAAGATCGTCAATGACAGAAACCCCACAACCTCCCTGGGCAATTTACTCCAGTGCATAACTTGCATTAGAAAGCAGCATTTTTCTTGATACATGATCTAAATTTCCTTTGCCACAATTTAAACCCAGTACTCCCTGTCCTACCCACCATGGAAACAGCCAGCTTTATTCTTCTAATGCATACAGTAATTTTTTACTTGTTTGAAGACTTATCACACGTCCCCTCTATCTTCTCTTTTCTAGACTACACAAGAACCACTTATTTAGCCCTTTGTTGCATTTTGCTAGAGCTCTGTCTCGTCATTCCCCTCTAGCTCTTATAGACCCTTTCATCCTTTCTGTCGTGTAGTGTCCAGAACCAGACACATTATCCCACCTAAAGGTCCTTCTGTACTGATCAGACATTTCACACCTTGCAGAGAACATCTGTTTCTTGTTAGCCCTCCACCCATAGCATGATGCTCCTAGTTGACACTGAGCCTTGAGATCTGCCATGTGCTACCATGCTCCCTTCCCATTAGACCTTCCTCATAACCAAGGACTAGATGAAATTCCTCTTCTGCTTCGGTAGCCAGTGCTCTGAGGGCACTTAACTGCTTCTAAACAAAGGCACATCCCAGGTCGAAACTACCTAACTACATAGATGTTACAAAAAAAAAAAAAAAAAAGGAAAAGGAAAAGGAAAAGGGCCAAATTAAACCCAACCACCAACCTAACTGAAAAAATGCCTCTTGTCTAAACAGAGACATGTTCATCCTCTCTTCCCTACTCTGCTTCCAGTTTGTTTCTTGTTCTGTTCTGATTGCCACCATGTTGGCCAGAGAGTATTTTTTACATAAATGCATACCACTTATTCAAAGAAAATTTAATGTCTTTTTAGGGGTTAAAAAAAAACCCAAATTAATATTTGTCAGCACTGCTGTCCTGGGTAGGAACAGTGGTATAGACACACTTCAGCACAAGCAGGTTCAAAATGAATCTGGAAGACAACGAGTTTTGTGTGTGCTGGTACACTGATTCTTGCTACCACTTGTGGAGCACAAGCTACATTAGGAAGCGCAGAAAGTTCCAGAGACCAGCTAAAGGACAATTTTAAATTTAATACACTTCTCAAGTTCTTTCTGCTTGAACACTTCAGTGAGTACAGTATGATTAAAGAAACCATCATTCATTAGTGCAAGACACACTTTTAGAGGGTGTAAAAGTAACTGGTTCTTCCAACAAGTCCCAAGACTGACACCAAGAGATAATCCTGAATGCCCCACATGAAGCTGCACAAAACTTTCACTTGCCCTTTAAATTAGCTGGACTCCCTTAATACATATTCAGTTTATTATTTACTAAACGCACTGCAGACATGCCTGAAGGCCCCAGCTGGCACTGTAACCCCACTCGTAGCTGTTAGAGCATTAGGAGGTGAACTGCTGTTCAAAGGGCTCTTAACTAAGTTCTGCAGGACCTCAGCTCCCAGAGAGGAGCAAGTTGTGCACTGGCATGGAGGAGGGAACTGCAACAGCAGCATTAACAACAATAGCCACAAAGCGACAGCTCCAGCTTCTAAGCATTTAAATTTGAAACCTCTAATGAGCACAGTCCATCCCACATCTTGCAGACTCTTTATGCATGTCCCAGGGGCAGGGAGGCTGAAGACTTTCCTGATCAGCTTGGGGAAGGTGGACAAACTGTTGCTCAAGCCCGATGAAATGGGCTTGAGGGAAACCTCAGTAAATAATGGTGAGGATCAGAGCAGAAGGAGTATGACAGACCTTTAGAGGGCAAAGGAGCCAGGTAACCTCTGAAGGAACAAGAGGGGGAAAAAACAGTGATATGGACACAACAACGGAGTAGAAAGATGATATTAGCAGCTGTACAGACTGTTGCCTGTGGGCAATAAGCCCCTACATCTGGCACATGCTTTAAAACAATACTATTATTATGCAATCGAGCTCATCCAGCTGTTAAACTGCCTGTTAAGAGTATCAAATTCATATACAGAGTTTAATGAAACACAGGAAGCGTTCACAGACCACCAGGCCGGCCACACCACATTGCAAATGCAGAAGTTCAGCTCCCTTTCCCCCAAAGCTGTTAACAGGAGTTGTTCGCTCGCTGCTTCACTGACCTTTCCTGGCCAAAAGCAGTGGCCAATGGCTCTACAGGCTGCTAAATATTGCAGCCCAGAGAAATGGAAACTCCTGGAGCTGCAGGACTCCCAGCTTCCTCACATCCAAGATACTCCTTTCCCACCTTGAAAGGAACATGTGTCACAATCGTTACTCGAGCTACTCTTCTGTAGCTGTTAGCTTCGTAACTAACCATGGCTCCGAAAAACCTTTGCAGATACTCAGTATGAAACAGGTCATAACAAAATCATCTTAAAAAACACATAAGTAGGTCAAAAGAAAAATGCTGAACACAGATACCAAAAAATAAGTGACCAGCGAAGTGCTCCTTCCAGCTATCAGATTTTAAAATATAAGCACGTAGGAAGAAAGATAGTTTTAAAGATAGGACTACCAAGACCACAAAATGGCAGCATTAGCAGAAGCTGCATGGGGAATATTTGCATGTTTAGCCAATAATTAAACTCAGATTCTGAGAGTTACTTCACTCTCGTCAAAGCAAGAAATAGGAACAGCTACCAAGATAACTCATTTACTTTTGCAGTATGTAAATATTTATAGCTTGCCATGAAGTACAGAATGCAGGTGCTAAATATGAAAATACATACATATTTCTGCCTCAACTGGTATGGTGTCATCTACTCCACCCTTATGTTTAACAAGTTGTTCTCTCACAAGAATCTTAGCATCACCTTACTGGGGATCTGCAAAGAAATAAAAAAGAACACTATTTTTTTTTACATTTTAGTGCCTGTTATATCTATGAAAGAGTGAGCATGTAAGCCAAACGTTGTGTTCATAGAGCACACAGCTACAAGGAAAAAACTGTACAACTCATGAAATACTGCAGGATGAATCATAACTATTTGTTTATGAAGGAAGTTTGAGTGCATTATTGTTTGTATTTTACTTCAAAAACCGGTTCCACTGGATATGCTCAATGGGCATGTAGAAAATTTAATTAACACATTGCAAAAAGGCTAATTAACACCCTGCTGCAGCTCAGCCTTTTTTTACAACAAATATAACACAAGCTAAGAAAACATCACAAAGCCTCACACTGGATAGAAAGCACCGCTACACCAACATCTAAACATCCTGGCACTATAAAATACATGACTGAAGAGAAGCAACATATGATTTCCAAATGAAATTGTTAAGATCACATGTCATTTGGAAAGAAGAGGATTTAGCAAAGATAACCATAACAGCAAAGACCACATGGTTTTCTAGACAAAAACAGTGACTCACAGAATTAAAAAGCAAATATTACTATCCATGCAACTTAATACAAAGCTAATTTAATCACTCACCTATTCTAATCGAACTGAACAAACAGGTCAAAGAGGAAGCCCCACATCTCTACAGCATTACTACCACCTTTTTTGGTTAAACAAATTTTGGACCAACCTATGACCTCCGTATACCACGCTCTTCAGGCACTCTGAACACGTTCTCTACCCTTAAGGTTATTTACCACCTTGTAGAAAGTAATCAGCTTTCCTGGCACATTTTCCAGCAGACATCATAGCACATTTTATTAGTCATTTAAGTCTTTTACACTCACAAGTTGAAAAAAGCTTCAAATTTAAATTTGAAACTAATTAAGTCACATACTATTGTATAATCTTAGCTTTCCCCCACACGGTTATTTAAATTCCAGTGACTAAGAGCATAAATGTAGTTGTTATTCTTGAGCCTTTTCCCTTGCAGCAGTATCATTTGTCTCAGCTGAAAAGTAATTAATGCTACTTCCTATACTTGGTGATTCACCAGATTCCAGGTAACATTCCATTTTAGTTTATCAAACAACATAGAGAAGTGAAAAAAAGATCTGGGGTATGGCATCACTTTAACAAAGAATTCCCATTAACCTGGCTCTGCAAGAGTTGTAATCTCTTCTGAAAGAGATTCTACCTGGATAGGACACAGCAATTTAGTCATGAAGCCATATTTATACTAAATTACTTTTTTCATACCACAGAAACCCATGCTTTCATTCTTTTAAAGAGACTTACTCTGCTTTAGGTCCTCATGTATGACAATAGCACCAAAAGGAAATATAAACGACTATGTCCTGTTAAAGAGTATTTTTTAATACTATTTCCTATTCTTGTGCTGTGAAAATCACTACCTGACAGTATTTCCCAGCAGCTCTGGAAAAACAATAATGCTTTAGCCATAAAGTACATAATAGAAAAAGCTGGATAAACTTAGTCTCTTCCTAGAAGTATCAGGAGAGTTTCTTCTCCATTTGCAAAACACAGGACTAGAGCAACATGTCCCACCACGCTCTGCTGCCAAAGCCACCCGTCACCGCCCGCTAAGAGCCTGACCTTAGGGCACCCATTGCCACCAACTTCCAAACCACGAGGGCAAATCTAACATGAACCTCTTAAAAGGTTTGCCCCGATATAAGTCAATGCCTAAGAAAAAAAAAAAACATACTTGATTATATGCTGTTTATCCATAACTTAGAGGATTTGTGATGGTTTCTTATTCAATGATTGCTTTGAATTATACATCACTGTATGTACAACTGGCTGATATTCAGACCAGTGAATCATTTTAGAAGCATTTACATATAAAGTTATGATTTCAATGAAATGTACAGAATGGAAAAATATTTTTTTTCCTTTTTTACCAAGTTACATGACTGGAAAAAAAAAGAAAAACACACAGAAGCTAGTATTAGAACAGCTGATTTTAGCCCTGCTGAAAATATAATTTTGCATCTTAGACCCTGTGGCAGACAAGGGGCTTTTTATCACCTTATCTGTGCTTCACTGACATGAATTGAGAGAGAGGTTTTGTAACATGCATTAATAGCTCTAAATATTGTAAAAAAGCTCAACAGTTGCCAGCAAGTATAGCTTGGTCACTTCGCTATCAAATTTGAAAAGAGGAATCCTGGAAATTAAAAATGTTTTCTTTCGATTCCTTCTGTTTCTGTATTGCCATATTGAGATGGCCTGTTAAATTCTGCTTTCCTTGCTTATCTTCTCCAGCATCCACTCTTACCAAATGTAACCTCTCCTGCCTCTGTGGGCAGTGGAGCAGGGAGAGGATACGTACATGCACACATCCATATAGGAGCTACACATCAAGTGCAGAGCACAACTGAGTGGGATATTCAGGGGGGTTCCCCAAGTGGTTTGAATTAGCTCTTGGGCTTCACACAAGTTTTCTTAGCCAGAACTTCTGGAATATGGATATTTGAGAAGGATATTAAAGCATTAATCATCCTATTATGAAAAAATTAAGTCACCAAAAGTTCCTGTTATTCCTTCCAACTCTTATTGTTCCATTTTCTTTGAGATCTGAGACTAGCTCAGAAGAAAAGCTGGAATGCAAGTCACCGTGCAATGACGTAGGCCGCGCTGCAGTGTGTGGGAAGAGCTGCCCGATTGCGAAACAGCCAAGCAGCATTGCTGAGCAGCTGCCTTCACGCTGCACGTAAAGATCTGGAATTCTTAAAATTCACAAGACCAAAAAAACACACAACACCCCCGAACTGCCTATTTCATTGCATGCTTGGACAAAGAAGAGGTAGAACAGCATCTTGCATGCACTTACACTCCCATCAGTACTAAGGGAGGTTACTCATAGAAACGTTCTCTCAGCTCCACGTCATACAAAAGTCTTTACTTTAGATACTTTGCTTTACTGTAATCTGGCTCTTCCATGGAAAGATTTTGGGTAACACTCCTTGCATTCAGCATAGAAGTCTGAAAATATTAATTAAGTAATCAAGTAAATAACGTTGGGTGTGTGAGAATAGAAGGGCAACCACTTCTGCAGGGCCTTCCTAAGCTCTACAGACACTTGGAGAGAGGGAAGAGAGGAGAGAGCCCGAGTGCAGCTAGCACTGGAATCCTGCCCAGTCCTCCCAGCTGAAAGTAAAATTATAAGCTCCACATCTTGACAGAAACAGGAATAGGATGGCAGTGAAGGGGCCTGGGGGAGACAGACACACCACAGAAAAACAACTTGTCTGTGCGGATGCCATTTTGTTTCTGTTTATCCTGCCCCTGCTTAGCTGCCCTGCTTTCTCATTCAGAATTCCTCTGCCCCTGCAATTCCATATTTTCTTCTTTTCATCAGAGGTTTGTTTCTCTCATCCACCCACATCGTCAAGGAGTGGGCTTTTAATTCACCGTGCGGCCCAGAGCTCAGGCAGCTCTTCGGCATGTCCTATAAAACTGCTTCCTCACTGCACAGACACCTCAAATCTCACCACACACAGGCCACAGGAGCAGAAACCTCCATCCCCACACCTCACCACCGTCTCTCCAATCACTACCAAATGCTGCAGCATCTGGGTATTACACCGAGAAGGACAATGTAATTAGTCAAACACAATTCCAGGGAAAATCACAGTAACAGTTACAGTCAATGTGCAGCCCCAGAAGCAGCCCAGAGACACAGTAAGGAGAGAGGTATCATCCAGAGCCTTGTGCTGGGGACATCACCTGGAACACGGACAGCTCTGGCGAAATTCCCAAAAGAATAAAGGAGTGGGACCTGCTGGATGGACCTCTGCCCACTTTTATAGTTCAGCACCACAGGAAAATAAAACCAGTGAGAGAGAAAGATCTTCCTCTAGGCCTGTGCTCACTTGGTGCACAGAAGACTGGAGGTAGACAGGAGGGATAGAGACATTCAGAAAAACAAGGTGGAAAAATACAAACAGGTTAGGTACAGTCTAAGAAACAGACTACTAACCTAGTGAATCAATAAAATGGATCTTAATTGGACAACAATGAGAAACTGTTACAGATCTACACAAAATTTTCCAATCTCCTCTCCTCTACTGCATACCTACATGCATATGAATACGCACATATTTGTTGGGGAGGGTGGGTGGAACTGTAGCACCCAGTGATAGCCTGAACACTCGACAAGTATTAGTAGTTTTGCTTAGACACCACAATCAGCAGGTTCAGAAACTACTGACTTCTACAGGCAGTAGCACGTGACCAAATCTTACAGGCTCCCAATTCTGCACAAAGCTGGCACTCCTGGGAATCAAGTCTCCCAAACCAGACCTACAGAGCAAACGCGACTGCCTCCTGCCTGTTACTGCAGCAGCACCTGGCAAGGCACAATCACAGGCTGCAGATGCACCAAGTGCAGCTTTATTTCTCAGAAAATAAATCAATAGCATACAAACAGGATATTCAAGAAGAGTATTGGTTTTTTTTATTGCAAAAGGGAAAAATGTAGTATAAATTAGATTAGAAAAAGATTCAGATCCGGCCTCTAAAGAACACTACAGAGATGAAATTATACATCTACTGTAACTGCTTGATTGTGGTTGCCCTGTGCATCTAGCTTATTCTGTCTTCCATTGAACAGCATGAAAAAATTTTTCATTAAAAGACCAGGCACAGATTTATATCATTAAAATCCAGAGGAAAAAAAATGCATGGTCATAATCTGATACAGGTTACAGACTGTGCCATACTCATCTTTCACACAGACCGCCTCGCTACGAGAATTTTTAGAAGCACAAGAAAAAAATCAAAAATTACTGATTGAAAAAAAAAAAAGGACTTATGCAAGTCTTCATAATCCATGCCACTGGCTAAAAGTTACACTGGTAGATAAAAGGTAAGCCTTAATGATAGGATCAAAGTGGATAAAACAGTAAGTACTCTTTTCCTTACTGAGACAAATTTGCATTTTCAAGCTTTAGGAGTAAATTCCCATGCACTTTACTGTATCTGCTAGTGAGTCAAACAACAGTAAGCTGCGAGACAGCCATATATGCACATGACAAACTAGTGTTAGTCTAGAAACAGTTTACTTGGATGAACAAGCAATATGCTGCACAGGAGACCCAATGACGTAAATTACAGCATATTGGAAGGAAGAAAAATACATGTAACAAGATTATTTACAGCAAACCATGTGCCATTTAGCAAGCACAGATGCCACTGCATCCAGGCCAAGGCTCAGGAAGGAAGGGATGAAATACTGTTCTGAGCACTTTGCAACTGTGTGTATACGAATATATAGGTAGATATATAGTCTTAAGGAGTCCGATGTGCTGGGAAATACGCGAGGAGATAGGAGGGCGGGTGGGAGCTGTGCGCGCCCAGCGCTGCCTGCCCAGCCGGCTGCTTTCCTGCCAAGCCAGCAGAGGGAGCAGCCCGGTCACAACCGGGTCTCTGCCGACTCCGCATTTCAGCGGCTGTGCAGTAAGAAACTGCACTTCCAGTCACAACCCTTCAGATGCGAATAGCTGCCACTTCCATGCCTCACAGCTGGCCCTTATGTCCCCAAATATTTGCTTATAGGTTTCCATAGTGTTCTACACTAAAGTGCTCTGGGCCTGGATACCCGTGCAGTAAGAAACTGCACTTCCAGTCACAACCCTTCAGATGCGAATAGCTGCCACTTCCATGCCTCACAGCTGGCCCTTATGTCCCCAAATATTTGCTTATAGGTTTCCATAGTGTTCTACACTAAAGTTGGGTTGCTGCTTATGCCAGGCTTTTTTATTGCTGGAATCAACACTGCTGGAACAAAGGAACAGAACCACAGGAACCCCAGCACACTGGAGTGTGACCTGAGGACATAACACATCATATATTTTTTCCACCCACAGCATCATCACCAGCCGGCAGGTTTACCATCCCAGCAGGCAGTGATCAATAAACAGTTCATATACACACAAGCTGCCTGAGACACTGACTGGATCAAAGCCCTCGGGGGCTTCCGAGACCCCCATCTGTAATGGCAAAAAATAAGCATAAGCAGAGGCAGAGCAGCATTTTGGTCACTTTATTCACATCGGCACTATGTGCCTACAGCTTTAGCGCACTGTATGCATTCATGTTTTCTATGTCATCTTTTTATTTGCTCAGCTGCAAAATTGAACAGCACAGGCACTAGCCCACATTTCCTTCCTTCAGCTGTGTTGAGATGCTTCATTGCAGCTTTTGATGAAATTACACTGAGGCACAAACAAGAAAACAGAAAGTTCTGTTAACTTAAAAAGACATTAAATGTGCAAACAAGTACTTGCAGATTAGCTCAAACCACTCTTTTCCAGCTGCTGAGATGTTGCTGAGACCGTGTGCGAAGCTGAACAAGACGAGCACAGAAAACTCTTCACGCAGAGCAAGCGCAGGGTGCCTCCCTGTGATCCTTGGCGTTTTGTGCTGGAAAAGGTCAAGCCTGGGGCCCCAGCTACCTGTGCTGCTCTTCGCAAGGCAACCCCGCCGAGCAAGGTGCCCGGGCCCAACTACACCCGGCTACGAGCTGCTCCTGGAGGTGCCCCCATCCCGTTCTCCAGGCCGGGCCCTACAGCGATCCCGGTAGCCCCCCGCCCCGCGGTGTAGTGCCGCCACCGCAGCCCGCGCGACCGTTAAACGGAGCGCGCGGGGCCTGG